TAGTTGAGTAAAAAAAAAAAAATCTGACAGAATAACTGTCAGGAAAAGTTAAGTCTCTCGCTCTCCTTCTGTTGGTTTTTGGGGTTGGTTTTTAATTATTATTATTTCATCAGCTTCAGAAATGGTGTTTTCTGTGATGCAAAAATATTGTATCCATCCGAATTACAGTTACAGATATCTACTCCCTTATCCCTTTCCCACACTCAGTTTTACTATTCCAAACAAGAGCTTGACCATTACATGATTACATGAAATCTTATTCATATTACTGCTCAGTGCTAGCTGAGGAATACCCATCCTCTTTCCTTACTTGCTCCTCCTCTGATCTTCTCAGTTATGGTGTCGTGCTGAGAAGCACAGGTTGTCAGTTTACCATTTTGAGACCTGGACTCTGCAAATGCTCAAAAACAGCAGTCACTCCGCACGAGTGTGTGCTAGTGATCCTTCCAGATCCAGAGTACATGTATGTCTAGATAAGGTTGCATACTGACCTATATACTAACATTAAACTCAGGAAAATTGAAGTAATTCTAAAGCTGGAATGAACTTTCTAACATTAACTTAATTAGGGGGTGTGAATTCAGGACTGGTGATTTAACTTGTGTGTAACAGTTACTCAGACAAATACAACAGCACTAATATACACAGCAAAATGTCTGCATAATATGGAAAGGTAGTAATACAGCAAGGTCTCATGTAACTCTAGAAATTCCTATTTAAAAGAAAGGTTACAACTTCTTTAAAGACAAAAATTCCTTGGAGAAGAAAACGTGTTCAAACCCAATAAATCTTTATGTTCTTAGTTCACCCAGAATATTAATTTTAAGGTGTAAACAAGAATAATTTTATTTACTGTTTATTACTTATGCATAAAACATACTGAACTAAATTGAAAAAATATCCCATTATGTTTTCAAATCCAATGGAATTAAGTAAATAAAGAAAATTAAACATTTCTAATTTTTCCTTAGTTGCCAGAAGGAGTTTGATTAGATAGCGTAATTGCTGAGGTTCCACACATTCCACACAATGTGCACATGTACATGGGCGAAGACACAGAGGCAAAGGGCTCCGGAGCAGAGGATCGCGCTGGGGGACCCTTTCCTAAAAGCAGCAGAACCACAAAGTCAAAAGCGCAGGGAGGGAGAGGGCACCCGAGCCCCCCCCCCACCACCACCACGAGCCAGCTCCTAACGAGCGGGCAGCTCTGACGCAGCGGGGGCGGAGTCAGGGGTGACGGCGGCCCGACCCTCCTGACGTATAAAAGCAGCCCCCAGGGAGCGCGAGCGACCCGGAGTGCCGCGAACAGGACCGGCAAACA